CATTTGTTTCATCTGTAGAAGAAAGCTGAGTACAAGAAGAGGAACCTTCTAAAAATTGCCAGAGAGGAGTCACACCAATGCTTAGAATGATCAGAACTTTGGGCTACTGACCGCTGTCCTTGGCTTCCATAGTCAAAGAGCTTTCAGACGATTCCTTAAGGGAGACTCTGCCTGCTCATGGAATCATGACATTCCTGAGCCAGAAGAAACTCTGTGACTCTAACAGAGTCTTGAGAGGGTGGGGGTTAGTTTTTCCCTAATGAAACTCGTTTTGAGGCTCTTGGCTAGAAATGGAAGGAGTGGGGAACAAAGCAGATTCTGTGTCCCTACGTTCCATCTCACAAATGGACCAGAAGCCACTCTAGGGCAAGCTCCAGGTCCTTTGTATCTGGGTGTCCTTTGCAGAACTGAAGACATTCCAACTGCTTACATCTCCACTTGGGTCACTAAGAGGCATTTCAAACATCCCATGTTCAAAACTGAACTCTGGCTTTTCCTCTCCAAAATGTGATCCTCCTTGAGACTTCTCCATTTGGGGCATATTCCACTTAATTGTTCTCATGTTCCCTTCTTCAATCCAAGTTCTTCAGCCCTTATTCCAAAACACTGTAAGTCTGTCTACGCCACCCTCTGCTGCTACTATCTTGGGCCAAACCAACATCCCTCACTTGGATTAACGTGCTAGACCCCTAAGCAGTCTCCCTGCCTCTCTGCCGTCCGTTCCCCAATAGCCATGACAGTGATCTTTCTGAATACCAAATCACATCACTCCCTTGCTTAAAACCTTCCAATGCCTTTCCACTGGTTTTGGAACAAAATCTAAACTCATCTGTAATATGGCTTCAAAGCCCCATAGGAGCCTGCCCTGCCACTCTCTCCGATTTCAATATGAATCATCTTCTCCCTCAAACGGCTGTGCATCAGCTATGTTTCCTTCCTGGAATGCTCTTCTCCTAGAACTTTACATGGCTGGCTCCTTCTCATCATCCGCTCTCAGCCCAAACATCACCTCCTAGAGAGGCTCTCTCTGACCTCTCCAGACAGAGCAGCCCATTCCTTCATCATCCACTCTATTTCATCACTTTTAGTTTCTCAGCAACAGGATTTATTTATTTTATTCTCATTTATTGTCTGTCTCACCTTATTAGCATGGGGGCTAATAGTAGGCAAGGGGGAGTGAGTTCTGATCCCTGGCACCTACTATAGTACTGTGGGGCTCCATAAATATTTTTTATTTTACTTTTGAGAGAGGGAGAGAGAGCGTGCAACAGTTGGGGAGAGACAGAAAGAGGGAGACACAGAATCCAAACAGCTCTAGGCTCTGAGTGGTCAGCACAGAGCCCAACACGGGGCTCGAACTCACAGAACCTCAAGATCATGACCTGAGCCAAAGTCAGAAGCATAACTGACAGCCATCCAGGTGCCCCTCCATAAACATTTTTTTAAAGTTTTTTAAAAATTTATTTATTCTTGAGAGAGAGAGAAAGAGAGAGAGCAGGGGAGGGGCAGAGAGAGGGACAGAGAAAGAATCCCAAGCAGGCTCTGCACTGTGAAATCATGACCTGTCTTGAAACCACGAGTCAGACGCTTAACTGACTGAGCCACCCAGGCTCCCTACCACAACTATTTTGTGACCTAACTAAGTAAATATTTGTGAATTCCATTGAGTCAGCCACTTGACTGGGAAGCAAATTCTACAAGATCTTGCCATCTCTTCCCTTACCTTTAGGGCTTAGGACTGAGCTGAGCTCCTTCCTCCCATATGAAGCTTGGCCCTCTTATGGATCTGGACTTGAGACCCTAGAGGTTTAGCTGTGCTGATTCCCCTGAAGGCTTAGGAGGGAGCCCCCTAAGAAATGGGGACTTCAGGTGAGACAAAAAGAGCTTCCTCATGGTAGGAACTGCTAGATCCTGACAGCAGGGGCTGGTAGAGAATGGGGGAGGTAGTGAAGAGCATGGGGGCATCTTCAACAACAAATCGTCTGTTCTGTCATTCTCATTTCAAATTCGGTTCAACTCTTGCCTTAGAACCCAAACTGTACTTTTCCACCCAAGACACTGTGAGAGCCCAGCCTTCTCTTCCTGGGAGAACTGCCAGGGTGGCCCTTGGGTCCCTGTTCTGCTTGCTCAGGTGGTCGGCTCTTATCAGAACCTTACTGGACCCCCATCTCAGGAGAGCACCAGGCTGGCCACCGCCACCCCCACCCCCCCCACCCCCAGTGCCTCCTCTAAGCCTGCTGTGTGCAGGAGATAATACCTCATGGTATTATGTTTGCAGACGGGCACAGAACTCGTGGTGAAGAGAAATCCAAGCAAAGGGATCTAGGGAATGTGCGGCACCAGCTTCTCTGGGCTGCTTCCCCCAGTGGGTTATTAAGAGACCTCCCCCTCTTGCTTGTGCATGATTGGTCCTTGTTTCAGAGGCAGCCGTTGGAGCGCATGTCCCACTACAACCTGACAGAGGCAGAGAAATGATGCCCTTTCCTCCTGCCTTTCCTCTCTCCCCGCCTCTACACAAAGATCTCTGCTTCTCCAGTACGATCTTGTGCCTTCCTCCAAGGCAGCTTTTCTTTAAGATCCCCTTGACTGTCAGACAACCTAACAAAGAGCCTCAATAAGGCCACAGGCAGCAGACGGCTTATCAAGATGTACCTCTCTGTTCCGGGTCCTGGCTGTCACCTCGATGCTGCTTTGTCATTACAGATGGCAAAACAACACAGCTGTGCGCACACATACACACGCACACACAGAGAGACATGCAGAGAGCCATTCTCCCAGCGAGTCGGCACCTCCACACTTTACCCTCTAGCTCTCCTAGTTACTTTGTCTTTTCCCCTTCTCTGCCCTGATAACTCGGCCTGGAGACTGTTGAATTGATCAAGAGCTGTGAGATTAGGAGGGGGCCTTCTTTTACCCTACAGGCTGGTTTGCCAGCAGATGCTCAAGGTCATAGAGTGCCAGTAACAGAAGGAGACCCAAGATCTCAATCATTCTCCCGCCTCATTGTACAGAGCAGAAAATCAAGGCCCAGGGCTGTCAGGTTCATTAACTAGCTATTAGCAGTTAATAGCTAGCAGCAGAGTCTAGACTCCAGGTCCCCTGATGCCTAGGCTTGGGCTCCTTCTTCCCTTCTTTTCCTCATTCAGCTGACAAGAAGGCACTGGGGTGTGGGAGAGGCAGAGTCCATTTTCTGGAACAGTTCACAGTGTACTAAAGAAGAGAAACCAGCCCACAGAAAGCTGGTGTATGCTTTCTGTGATATGAACCGCAAAGGTGCCCCAAAGAAAGGCCATAGATTGGAGAAGGTTAAGTCTGTGGACCAGCCAGGAAAACCTGGTAAAGGAGGTGACTTTCTGGCTCAGCTTTTAAGAAGAGTGAGCCTACCCGTGGGGAAGGAAGGTGTTTCCTACTCGGGGAAGGAGCTGGAGGAGTGGAGGTCTGTTTAGAGGTAGGTGGGTGCGTTTAGCCTGGAGGGTAGGATGTGTTTGACCTCTGTGTAGGTGAATTCCCAGGTAGAAGATGCCCTCTCTCCTCCTGGGACAGCAGTCTCAGCCCCCGCTTCCATGTAAAGCAGCCGAGCAGACAGAAAGGACAGTGTGGGAGGGTCTGTCAGAGGCATCCTGGCGGTTTCTCAACCTGACCCCCACCCCTGCTCCAGTCTGATGGTGCATTTCCCAAGGAACATAGGTAAAGTGGAAGAGAGACACCAGGATACCCCTGACATATATTGCCAACAAGCCATGCCATCTGCATGTCAGACCGATTTTAAGAGATGCAAGGAGAGGTCACTCAGGGGGTCTGTGCTCCAGGCTGGGACTCCTCCTTTGGCTTAGTCTCTGGCGTCCTTTGCCTTTGGATCAAACAATTGCCATCTCTTGGAATATCAATTTCCCCAACTTCTTTGTCCTGATTGGTTAGTAACGAGGCCTCTGAGTTCTTGAATACCAGTCTCTTCCCTTGTGCAAGCCTATCCCATCTAGATAAGAGCTGGGAGCCTAGAGAGAATGTAAGCCAGGTAGGGGCGGGGCTGCATTTACTCCAGGCACTCCAGGGCTCACTCCAGACAACCTGTCAACCAGCTCCAGGCCCCTTAGCTCCCAGCGTGCCAGCCCCCGCATGTTACTTCCCTAAATAGCCCTGGTCTGGGGTCTTTGAGCCTCAGTGACCTATGTATGACCATGTGACACTAGCTCTGTGTGGCTCAGGGCCCCTATTCTGGAGGAACGTTGGGGTAGATGGGCTGCCCTGTGCACTCCTCCAATGACCTTCTCTGGAATAAATCAGGCTTTGACCCGGGAAAGGGTCCGGTTTTTCCTTCTCCACAGGCAGGATGGAAGATATTGCCCTGCAGATCTCTGAGTAGGAGACAGACCCAGATTCCTTAAGGGCCTCTCTGCTGTCTGGGTCCTGCCCCTTTTTCTCCAAAGGGAAGGAGAGAGAGGGGAGAGGAGGGCGGCGGTCGGGGACAGGGAGAGCTTGGAGGAAGGAGCATGGGGAAGGAAGATGGAGAGAGCCTTCAACAGCTTTCCTCCTCTCGAGTTGGAAGCGGTTAATCCATGGGTGCTTTTTCCACCGAAATGTGAGCATTTCAAGGGTGAGCGCTGCCCTCTGGCCGCAAGCGCCAGAGTGTGTGTGTGCGCCTGTGCGCGCGCGCTTGTGTGTGCTACTGTCGCTGTCATCACAGATGTACCCCCAGCTGTCACTCCATTGCTCCGTCTCTTCGCTCGCGCGCACACACGCGCGCGCTCTCCTCCTCTCCCTTTCTTCCCCTTTCCTATCTGTCTCCCTCTGTCCCTCCCTCTTTCCTTCTCAGTTTGCTATTGACCCAGCAGCCCCTTCCCCCTGGCAGCAGCGGCAGGCATTCCTTCTCCCCCGTGCTGTGCGCTGCGTGCCAGGTCCCTGCGCCCGGCGGACTGGGCACTCAGTGCCCACCACGCTCCGCTTGGCAGTGCTGTCTGGATTTCTCCAGGAATCCCAGGAGGGGCTCACTGGACGGCTTAGAGCTACTTGATTTAAGGAGCTTGCGGTCAGGGTGAAGAAAGGTGAGTGCTGTCCGCTGGAGGGAAGGAATGAAGGACTGGTGGGGGTGCAGGGAACGGGCTGGGACACAGGGAGCGGGGCCCATCTTTGCCGGGTCTCCTGGCGCTGTACGGACAGCGGCTGTTGCCTCCGGCCGGGGAGGGATGGCTGGGGTTGGGGAAGTGCTCAGGACCGGACATCTGGGGGCCCAAAGATACAGGACCCAGGGGTCCTCTGACCTCACAGCGCTGGGGAGGTAAGCTGGGATTCTGCTGGGGAAGGAGAGAGGAGAGGAGGGCAGTGCCAGTGCCAGTGCCAGATGACAGGCCAGGGGCGGCATAGAAACCAGTCCCTGCAGCGCGGGGAGTGCCAGCCAAGAGCCCTGTGCCGTCTGCCTGCCCAGCTCCGTGCATACAGCCTGAGGAGCTTGGGTGCTATGGGAAAGGGATGCTCCTGGTGACCGGGCTGGTACAGAGGACAGGTTGGTGGGGGGATGGCAGACTGAAGGACTGTGCTGTCTGAGCTCTGGGAATAGACCAGGGGCGGCCTCTCCGCAGGATGCCCTCAGCACGGGATTGTCGGCCTTCAGGCAGCTGTCCTTGGACAAGGTGCGGAGGAGCCCTTCCCTAGGTGGACACAGGTCCACAGCGCTGTGGGGGAAGCCTCCCTGGTGGGGGCGTGGCTGGGAGTGGACCACAGAGAAAAGCCCTGCAGCTCTTCCTTGGTGAGCCTGAGGCCCTGCTCCCAACCGGGCAGGGGCCTAGGGGCAGGGGGTGGATCCAGGCTTGTGAAAAGCTACAAGCACGTCCCCTAGAGTGTCCCCCAACTGCACACTGGGTCCTCTATCTTTAACTGGGTCTGGAAGCCTTATGCCATGGTGGGAGTTGTGGACTCAGCTTAGGGGGAGCAGGTGGTATACAGCCAAGCCCTGTCTACCTGGTTTCCCAGCCCAGTAGGGCATTGGACACCCTGAGTTGCAGCAAGAAAGTGGCTCTTAGCAGCTCTGGGGCCGTGTTGACGATGCAGAGAGGGTGGTCTGACCAGGAGTCCCTACTGCTCAGCTCAGTTCCAGTGGCTGCTTTGTCTTTTTCCTGAGCTAAGCTTTTCAGAGTTGCTGGGGTTGATGGTGAGGGTGGCACCTGGCTGTCAGGGCGTATTGGGCATTGCCTTAGCATGACTCAGATTGACACCGGCAGCTTAGATAACTACATAGGCTGTGGGGGGGCTGAGCACGTGGAGGGGGCGGGGGAAGTCCAGCAGGAGGGAAACCCGAAGCAGCTTCCTGCTCTTCCCACCCCACCTCCCTGCTGCCACAATCTCCAGCACTGCCAAAAGAGGGAGCCCAGGAAAGCCAGCCTGGGGGTGGCAGAAGGAGGGAGGTTTCTTAAGCAACCGATCTGGTTTCTTTGGGGTTTGGCTGGAAGCTGTGTCTGGGGCCCGGATGAGCAAACCTTATTCCCATTTCCTAGGCACCAAAGCCCAGGGGCCCTATAGGGCTGCTTTTGGAAGAATGGGTATCATGGGGAGGAGGCAGGGGAGAGCCTTTATGTAATGTTGGGGTGCCTGGGGAGGAAGGAGTTGGAGCAGAGGCAGTCTCTCTTCTTGGGTTCTCCCTCCTATCCAGATCAAGCTTCTTCTGTCCCCCTCCCCACCCCAACTGCCTCCTCCCCTCCCCCCAAGGCCAGATCCATGACCTCGATGAACTTGCTTAGTTTGTTCACAATGGAGACTGGCTCAGGTGAGGAAAGCCTCAGGGGGCTTTTCTGTTCTGATTAGCAGAGAATCTTTTTGGGATCAGGAATATTCAACAAGGAAACCAGGATGTAGGAAGCCTGAGGGTGAGAATGGGGTATGCATTTTGAAATGAACCAGAAAGATTTGCCTGTTCCAAGTACAGATAGAGAGATTTAAAAAAATCTGCTTCCGTGCTGCCTGGGCAGTGTATGTTATGGGGGTGACAGGCAGGAAGAGACTGAGAATGTTTCCTGGAAGGGCCCAGATGGCCAGACTGGAGGCAGCAGATGCAGAGCCCAGCCCTGCACAGTCCCCACCAAATGGGGCTCAGCTCAGGCCGCCCTGCGGTCCAGGTACCACTCACCATCTTGGTGCTTCTCACCTGCCTGTGACCTTCACCTTTCTGCAGAGTGAAGTGGGTGCATAGGCAACCATGAAGGCCCTTTCTGCTTCTAAGTTCTGTGAGTCTGGGTTGCTGAGGGTGTGCAGAAGGCTTGTCCTCAACTAGGAACACTTGACCAAAGTGAGAGATACCAGTGGAGGTGAATGGCAGGGCCCGCATGATGTCCTAGGGGTCAGGAACCCTGGGTTGAGGTACAACAGGCATTAAGCGGTTGTGTGGTTTGGACACCTGAACTGGGGAGATGCACACGACAGATGGGTGTGGACACCAAGCTGCTGGTGGGTGTGTTGGAGGTTTCTAGCTGGGGTTTGAGGCAGTTCCACGTGGAGGATTATCTCTGTCTTAGGAGGAACTGAAGGGACAGAAGCACAGAGAGGCCATAGCTCTGTACCATCCTAACATGAGCATTCGGGTTTGGGGGTTCTGGCTGGCTGCTCACGCCCAGGGGGCTGAGGCGAGGTGCCCCACTGGGGAGGTGGCTCCCACTCCCAGTCTCCAAGGGAGGCTGCACCCACTCAGCTCGGCGGGAGCACGTGGAAACTTCTGGTCTTATTGCTGCCTCATGTTCTATCACTACCCTCCACCCCTGGCTTCCCTGGGGCTCCCAGACTACCCTTCTCCCCTCAGCACCCAACCTTCTGCCAGAAGGGTTTCTAGAAAGCCCTCTCCCCTTCCTTTCCCAAGATCTTGGCCACGTGGGGCTTCTCTCCACTGCATCTATGATGTTACTGGAAGGAGGGGCTGGGAGGGGGAGACCAGGCTTATGTCTGAGTCCAGGACCGCACAGAGCCTGTTTCTTCACCAGTAGGAGGGGCATCAGAACGCCTGCCTCCTCAGAGCCAGTGAGACGATGGGGGAGGGAATGCTGTGTAAACTGTGAAGTACTGTACACAGTACAGCAACACAGCAACACGTCTCCTTTTTCTGCCTTTTCCTTCTTATCCCGAACCTCTGTGTGTAAGCAAACTAGGAAGAGAACATCCCGAGAAGGCTGTAAAGGCAGCTGAGTTAGTAGCTTTGTCACCAGACTGCTTGGGCCCAAAGTCGTATTCGTTCTTCTGCGGCCTAACCAGAAGCAAGTTACTTAATTTCCTTTGCTTCAGTTTCCCCCATCTGCAAAATGGTGTTAATAATAATATGTCCTCAAAGAGTTGCTATGAGGACTAAGGACACTATACACAGTTGTTTGTGGCTATGACCATTTCTTCTCTCCATACAGAGGCTTTTTGAAGGGGGTGCTGATGTCCATATCCTCCCCACTCGGCCCAGGTCACTGCCACTCCTGAGATGGGGCCTGGCTTTCAGAGACTGACGGGCATGGCCCCCTGGGAGGTGCTGGGGCCTGCTGGGGGAGAAGCAATCTGGTCTTGTGCTTCTCAAACTTGAGTGTAGGATCTTGTTAAAATTCAGATTCAAATTGGACCAGCGTGGACCAGAGTGGGGCCCGAGATTCCACATCTAAGAAATGCCCAGGTAAGTCCCATGGGCCATGCCGAGTAGCAAAGGTTCTCAGGGCTTCTCCATCTGACTGCTTGTGGCTCCTCGGCCCCATCCTCCAATCCTGGTTGTCTCAGCAAAGCCTGGCAGAGGAGGCCAGGGTTCCCTGCTGGGGCCCAGCCCTTCTCTCTGGTGTCTCTGTCTCTGGGACTGGGACAGTGAGTCCTGTGACAATTAGGAGCAGGTCCAGCATCCAGAGCCAGGAGGCTGTGGGACTTGGAGATAGAAGATCTTTCTGGCAGGACCTCTCTGCTCTTGTCTGTCCCCCATTCTCCATCCTGAGTGGGACTTCCCTCTCAGACAGTGTAAATTTATTCCAGCAGCTGGCCAGCGCCTGCTACAGCAGCTGCTCTCCTAATGTAGGTCACCCCCTTTCCTGATGAGGCTAGATACTTCTGGGGGTGCGAAGGGGTCCTTTGGTTGGAGGTGTGCTTGTGGGCAAAGGGCCAAAGAGCCAGGAAGGGCTGGGTTCTAGCCCCAAATCTCCCTAAAGGTCACTTCTATGATGCCCACAGGGGCAGGGCCAGCACCCTAGGGAGCACGGGTACAGCCCCCATCCCCCACCCACAGGCCTGGGGGACTTTGTTTTCATCACATTTCTCCAGAGATACCGGGGTCAACAGTGCCCTGCTACCTTGGAAGATGACGCCTGTGCATCTGCCTTGTGGCAACTTGCCTGACTTGCTTCGTACGGGTGACATCATCCAAGTCTGGGGAAGGGGCATCAGGACCTGCTCAAGGCCACTGTCTCCACTGATGGGTGCTTGCTGGTCAACCCCTAGGCTCACCACAGGGGTGACACTGAGGTCAGGGAGGGGTGAGTAGGGTGGAAAAGGAGAGCCTGCTTGAAAGAGGGGAAGAGACTCAGGTGGACATAGCTCCTGGGCTTGGGAGAGAGGGATTCTCTGCCACCTATCTCCTTGCCGGAAGCTGGAAAGAGCAGAGTGGAGGCCTGGATTGGGTCTCCAGCACCCTTGTGGGTCTGGGTATAGAAGAATTCCCAGGACAAAGGTTGCCCTTCAGGGCTTTCCTTAGACCTCACTTCTAGGCTGGAGGTGCCCCTGTACATTTGTCTGCTAGGGGCTTCTGGGACCCACCAGGCATCTCTCTGTGCTGAGTGTTGGCATCTGAAGAGGAGTGCTGGAGGGCTGCCGCAGGGCATGTGTGTGTGCACGCGTGCGTGTGTGCGTGTGTGTGAGCATGTGCCTAACTGCACAGCTCTCTGTGGGTGTGTGTTTGCACCATGTGCTATGTTGGAAGCTCCATGCACGTGTCTGGGAGCCTATGTGCACCTTGCCCTGTGCACACATACGTGTCTTCCCATAAGGACCATTGCTGGGTGACAGTCGCCAGGGAGTGGATGAGCAGCCAGGGTCAGAAGCCCATGACCTATCTCTGACCTAGGGTCAGAGCAAGTTGGTCCTCATCTTTGTGCCTTGGATGACCACCAAGCTGCCTACTATTGTATGGGTGCTGTGAGCCCTGGATGTAAGGGCACTTGCTGGAGTAAGAGCTCATTCTAGGGTCAGGGCCTGAGGGACACAGAGAGGATGGACACTGGTGTCTGCGGTGGAGGTCTGTGAAGGCTGTGTGTGGGGGGTGTCTGGCCATGAGCATCATGTGATGGGCCATCTGCTCAGGAATAGAGAAGTAGACCCATGCGTGAGGTTGATGGGACCAGGAAGGAGGAGTTACATAGAGCTGCTGCAAGTTGCTGTCCCCTCCCCACAGAGGAACGGAACTGGTGTTTCCTCACATCTATCATGGGCTCAAGTCCAAGCTGGGCGCATTCGCCTGAATTCTCTCCTAAGGTAATGTATGCTAAATATAGTAAATGTTAACTTTCCTCTGTTAATTAAATGGATCCACATAGAGATTCCACCCATGAAGTATTACAGTCATCACTTTTAGAGATAAGATAACTGGAGCTCAGAGAGTGTACGGGTTTGTTTAAGGTTGCACAGCTAAGGAGTGGTGGACCACAAGGAAACTTGGAGCCTTGCCTGCCTGGGCTTCTGAACCAGGAGCCTGTGGGGGCCTGGCCCTGAGAAAACAGCTGGAGAAGACACCTGAGCTGCTATAAGCTTCTTCACATTTCAGCCCAAGGCCTGGCTATCCATCCAAGAGTCAGTGTGGGGACCCTGGCTGTTCCCCATGCTCCATGTTGGAGGCCAGTTGTTGTGATGGTCTCTGCCAGCCTCTGGGAGGCCTGTACAACCTGGAGCACTCCCCGGTGGAGGAGTGGGGGGAAGGCAAAGCCAAGACCCCCACACACCAGGCTGCCCTTGCTGGGAGCACGGCTGAAGGTTCCGCGGGGGGTGCTGTGTTGTATGTGGGTTTTGCCACCAGAGGAAGCTGGATTCAAGAGTGGGGGCTGGGGAGGCAGTGAGAGACACTAGGAGCTGCAGCAGGACCCAAAATGCCTGAGGGAAACCCACTTCACTGGATGCAGAGACCTCAGAGCTGAACGGGTTAGCTTCCCAGCAGCCCCTTCCATCTCCTCAGCTGCCTGCTTAACTTTGCCCCTGGCTCTGGGGGGAGGGAGGCAGAAGAAGGGGGTGAAGAGAGGGGAGGTTGCAGCAGGCAACCAGAGGAGCCAGCCAGAAGCAGTGGGCTGAGAGAACTCTGCCCTTTGGGAGCAGGAGGTGCTGGGCTGTGGGCGGGGTCTTCCCTGTCCTCCCTGTCCCCTTCCCCACTTTGTCTCAGCCTGCTGCAGGGGCAGCCACCACAGTCCCCTCTCCCATCCCTCTGCTGGGGCTGGGAGAGTGGAGGCTCTGGCCTCCGTGTGAGGGCCTTAGCCATATCTGGAAGGAAATGAGGACCAGAGGAGGGCCCGTGTCCCTCTTAACTAGTCATAGGGTTGGGGCAGGGTGGGTCCTGAGACCCTAGACAATGTGAGTACCCCTCTTTCGTCATCTGAAGAGAAACCTGCCTTCCTGCAGCCCCAGGGCGGCTCCAGCCCTCCCTCTGCTCCGAAATCTCCTCCTCTCCTTCCTGCCTCTGTCTCCTGCATAGACAGCTGCTGCAGCATGAACTCCCTGAGCTGATGAGTCTTATTATAGCCCAGCGGGCGGAAGACAGAGCACCACACCTCACCTCCCAGGCGAAGGTGGAAGGGAAGCAGGAGGCCATCGGGCGGCAAGAGCGGGGCCTGGGCCTCACACCTGACCCAGCAGCAGACTGCCTCTTCGGGGGCCATGGTAAGAGCAGCGCTGGGACGGGCCATGGTGTCAGTATGGCCTCACTCTGCTTACCTGGTAGACAGACACCTCAGTTTCCACGCATGTGACATGAGGGAAAGCCCACAAAGGAGGCCATATCATTCCAGAAACATTTTCGAGATCAACAGACAAGAGAGACAAGAAGAGAGACCGGGGGGGGGCGGGGGGGGGAGACACTGGAGAGGCCACTGCTGGCGATTCCTGAGTCCCACACACAGAGCCCAACGCTGTGCCACAGGCCAGAGCCTGCCCGCCTTGCCTCCCCAGTAGCCCAGGGAGGTAGAAGGATTCCTGGCTTCTCTGCCCCTCGTTCCTCTCCCCACACCTCCCCCCACCACAGGGAAACAGCTGAGCTGAGAAGAACAGGAGAGGGAATGGCAAGGAGTGTAAAGAGACACCGGGCCCTCTTCCTAACCTCTGGGCTAGAACGGGGCCTCGAGTGCCTGCTCAGCACTTTCTCTCTCTCTCTCTCTCTCTCTCTCTCTCTCAGGACTGACAGGTAGCACGCACTGAAGGGCTCCTCTCTCCCCAGGGGTGCAGGGACTTGAGAGCTGTGGCATTCACCATGCTGGCCCGGGGCAGTGGCCCCGAGCAGAGGACCAGGCTTGCCCTGCCGTGGAGGCAGATTTCCTGTGAGTACGGTGGGGTGGGCAGGAGGCAAGGATGCATGCCAGGCTGCGGGGGGCTCTGGGAGGCCAGAGGTTTCCTTCTACAATCTTGCCCATGCTACTGGCATCTGCGGCAGCCAAAGGAAGAGTCACTGCTGATAGCTTTAGTGGTTAACCTGGGAGCTGGAGGCCATGTCAGGTGGATCTGTCTCCCCGGGTGGGTCTGTTTCTGTGCCCAGAAGTCCACCCCTGCCCCCAGCAGTCCGGTTTGGGATAGTCCTGTTGTTCTAATGGCGAGTCTCGCTCTTGTCTTCCATTGGCTGGGTGAACCTGGAGACTTCTCTTCTGCCTCAAACTTCCCAGCTCTGAAATGGAGGGACCTAGAGAATTCTTAGGTTGTGGGGTTGGAAGGACCTTAGGGGTTGGGTCCCACCCCCTCCTTCTGCATCTGAGGAGACTGAGGCCTCCATTTCTTATAAGAAAGCCTTGAAGTTGTCAGGTTGAAAGCCCTGAGAATTCTCTTCATATGAGGGAGAGGGCCGAGGTCCGTGAGGACCGGTTTGCCCATGGCTGCATGGCTAAGAGGTAAGACATGGTCCTAAAGGACATTATTCTGCCCGACTTCTCCCCTTGTCAGTTCAGCCCTGTGATGCAGCTGCCCCACGACATAAACAGCCTGAATTATTCACCATGTGAGAGTCACTGATCCCTGATCCACTCAGATCCCCTTTCAACCTCATTCTGGAATCATTCAACACCTTGCAATACAGGATTATGTTTTCTGGTCACCAGAGCTTTCATGTCACCCTGAATTTCTCAGGGGTGGGGAGAATAATGGCTTCTGATTATGTTGATCCTTTAGAGAAGGAAGCTCAATGGATTGAATTTTTTCCTGTGGAAGGTGAAGTCTGAAGAACGTTGATTTTCAAATGGCATGGTGGAGGTCGTGTGGGGCAGGCTGACCTGGCAGCAGATGGGCTCCGTGGGGTCAGAGGATGAAAGGTAGCAGCAGGTGACCCCATGTGGCCAGGAAGGGTCACCAGTTGGCTCCCATGGCCACGACTGTGCTCATTTCCCCTTGAGAATGAGGAGGCTCAGGTGTCAGCCTTGCAGTCTGCTTCTCAGCTGTCAGTGACCCAGCAGGCAGGTGTATGTAGGGGGGACAGTCCCCTACTGTTTCTTCAAGCTCTGCTCTTGGGGACAACAAACATCTACCATACACAAACTCATTCAGACACTCAAGTTGGGGTGGCTGCTGCCTGTCTGGGTAGGGCCACCTGGGCCATGAAGTTCTGAACTTCTCTATCACTTCCCTGGCTAGGGTCTTTCCTCTGGGCTTCTCTTTCCAAAAGAAAATGGCCACACTACTGCTTCCTTCCTTTCTGCACTCTCACCCCCAACTTGGAGCTGCACTAGGCTAAGACATGCCATGCATGGGAGAGAAAGAGCACAAAAGGGTACTTCCCACCCCTGGCCCCCTACAACCTCCCACGTGCTGTCAGATCTGGATGAATCCCACATCCAAGATGGGGCCAGTAATTTGCCAGACCGGGTGCTGCCTTGGTAAAGTTGAACTATTTTGAGCTCATCCCTTTTCTCTTTCACAGTGAGCAAACGTCTCTGATACTCAGGAAGACAGAGGAAGGAGAGTTTTGCAATTACTCTGAGAAAGGGCTGATGGACAATAGAATGAACTGCTCTGTTGTGATTGCTCTTTGAGGGCCCCCCAGCCCTTTCCCAGAGTAGGCTCTGAGCTTGCTTACTCAGAGGAGTCCTGGGAAAAACATGGGACCACAAATGGAATGCTGTTAATGGGTCCATGCTGCAGTCTTTAGGAACAGGAACCCAGCCTAAGTGCATGGCTGGTTTTAGAATGAGAATAAATGGGAAAATTCTGGACCTATGGTGTGCAGTGGTTTGTGCCCAAGTCTTCTTCAGCATGGAGGTGGAATTGTGCATCTTATCCTTATAATTTCCACAGTGGTCTCTAGTGGGACCCTAGATGGGCTTGGGCTCCTGGTCTTCATGCTTCTGTGCATGGTACGTCTTAGCCTAGTGCAGTTCCAAGTTGGGAGTGGGGATGCAGAAGAGAAGGAAGCAGTAGTGTGGGCATTTTCTTTTGGAAAGAGAATCCTTCTCTGTGATATTGAGAGAGGAGCAAGTGAGTAGGCTTCTTTGACTACTAGATCCTTTATTTTGTCAACATCTATGGTGTCAGTGGGACCTAAGTTCCCAAGAAGATCAACCATTGGAGAACCTGCAAGCTGGGACATCTTTGTGGAACAGCATTGTTTGTCTGCTGGACTCAAGTCTGCTAGTCTGCAGGATTGTACTCCACTAAAGGAATTCCTTTGCCAGTTATGCAGGGAGGCAAGGAGCCCTGTTGACCTTGTGTGATGTCCAATAATATAGACCTGCTTCATGCTTGTTGATTATCTTTTTATGTGGTCAGTAAAGGTTTGTGCATTGACTTTAGCTTGGGCCAAAGCAGATAAAGTCAAGAGGCCATTATGATACAAATTCGAAAGGAGGGCATAGAAGCAGGAGGTGGTAACCCCCCAGCCTGTTGCTTTCTTTCCACTTCTCTGTTCCCCTCCCCTCCAGGGATCACCTGCTGGATCACCCTGTATGCTGTGGAGGCCCTCCCCTCCTGCCCCTACTCCTGTAAGTGTGACAGCCGCAGCCTGGAGGTGGACTGTAGTGGCTTAGGCCTCACCATGGTGCCCCCGGACTTGCCCGCTGCCACTCGAACCCTCTTACTCTTGAACAATAAGCTGAGTGCCCTGCCTAGCTGGGCATTCGCCAATCTGTCCAGCCTACAGCGGCTGGACCTGTCCAACAACTTCCTGGACCAGCTGCCCCGTTCCATTTTCGGGGACCTGACCAATCTTACAGAGCTGCAGCTCCGCAATAACAGCATCAGGACCCTGGACAGGGACCTGCTGCAGCACTCGCCTCTGCTCCGCCACCTGGACCTGTCCATCAACGGACTGGCCCAGCTGCCCCCTGGCCTTTTTGATGGACTCCCAGCTCTGCGCTCCCTATCACTTCGCTCCAACCGTCTGCAGAACCTGGACCGGCTGACGTTCGAACCCCTTGCAAGCCTGCAGCTGCTGCAGGTTGGGGACAACCCCTGGGAATGCGACTGTAATCTTCGTGATTTCAAGCACTGGATGGAGTGGTTCTCCTACCGAGGTGAGCATAGCTAGTCCTGCCAGCGCCAGCCCCTGGCCCAGCACACTTCCTGGAGGCTGGGTGCTGACTCAGGGCTGGGGTCTAGGGAGAAGGGGGTGGCCCTATCTCTCCACCAGCGGGGCTGGAAGAGTCTCAGCCTCAGCAGGGCAAAGAGGCCAGTACTGCTTTCTTTCCCTCCTGGTCTACTGCTGTGCTTTCTTCCCTGCGTGCGCCTCCCAGCTCCCAGCCTCCTTCCTGTTCTTTTTCTTTCAGACTGACTCATTGTAACTTGATCTCACTTCTGTAGGTTTCATGAGGCAACTTAAAGACTCAGTATAATTTTTCTCTGCATCCCACCAGGTATGCCTCTGGGCTTCCCTGGCATGGTAGGAGGAAGAAAAACCATGCTTGCTCTTCTGAATAATACAATAATTTCTTAAATATCCACAGTTTCAGGAGGGTGGAATATAATTTAAATCCACAGATAAAACCAAATTTTCATTTTGATGATGACCTCAACTCTCTCAAGAAATTTTATATTCAAAGCTTTTAATAAGCCAACTGTCTTTAGTTTTTTGTTTAGTGTTTATTTATTTTTGAGAGAGAGACACACACACAGAGTGTGAGTGGGGGAGGGGCAGAGGCAGAAGGAGACACCGACTCTGAAGCAGGCTCCAGGCTCTGAGCTGTTAGCAAAGAACCCAATGTGGGTCTCAACTCAACTGTGAGATCATGACCTGAGCCAAAGTCAGACACTCAGCTGACTGAGCCACCCAGGTGCCCCCAGCTGTCTTTAGTTTTACTCTTTTCCTTCCCCCTTTTGTTAACCTGGGCAAGTTCTAGAATGACTATAAAATGGAATGGAAAAGGAGGGCAAAGAAGTGAGCATAATGGTTAAAAGTGCCAGATCTGGGTGTAATATGTGGCCCTGTCACTTACTAGCTGTGTGATCCTAAGAAATGTCTCTGTGGTAGTGTTCACATCTGTAAAATGGGGCAAATAACAACTATCTCATAGACTCATTATGAGGATTAAATAATAATGCACAAAAAGTGTCTTGAAAAGTACTTAGCCTAAAGTAAGTCCTCCACAAAACTTCTTCATTTATTTGTTCATTTGTTAGTAGTAGCCATAATATTAAGTGGACTTAATAAGACACAATTTGGTGCCCAGCACAAAGTAGATGCTCCATGAATATTTGCTGAACGAGTGAATCAATGTGAAGAGTGTTAATGCTTTTCCTCAGTCTCACTCCTTTTGTTCCATATCCAGCCACCATTTCAATTATTTGGGTGGTATTGTCATGTGTTAGTTATTCAAAAATTTTTACAAACCGTAAAGTGCCATAAAATGTTAGTCACTATGACAATTTCTCCCATTTTTGTGAGTTGAGAAATAATAATGTAGTTTCCACTTTATAAGTATCTTTGCATGTACGTTATCTATTTTAATCCCTATAGCAGTTAACTGAGTTAGCCATTCTTATTTTATGGCCAAGAAAACCAAAAATCAAATACAATTAAATAAATTAAATAATTTGTGCAAGATGACATAGCCAGGATTCAACCTCAGGTCTTGGAGCAAGAAGGTGAGGTTGTCCCCATCTCAGCACCCAGCTCCTGCCTATACAAAGGCCCTTGGACACATTTTGCTGGATGTAAGACCTGCCATAGGTCACCCAGGCAGTCAGTGGCATAGGAGAACTAGAGACCAGGTGTCTTTAGACCCATGTGTTATCCCGAGGGAACATCCTTGTCCTTTCATATAGTCAACAGGAACTGAATTCTCAGCACAAAATGGCATGGAATGGGAATGTATATTTTTGGAAATTTTCAATAGTACAGTTGTTTTCAACTTTGCATTTCTTTAAAAAAAATTCCTGGGGTGTTTTCATCAGCATCCCAGGAAAAGCATATCTGTTTTATGAAGAGGCTTGCAGCAGCTGTGCTGGGAGATGGAACTGGGAGTTATGGACTAGCAGGAGCACACTCATCAGGAGTTATTTGGAAGGGGGTGTCTCTTGCCTGCATCTAGATTTCACTGGAAGTGGATAGAGGGCCAAAATCTGACTTTGGCATCCTAGGGGATTCTCCTCAGCTTCTCACCCCACCCATGTTCTTCATCTATATGCCTTCATGACTTCACTATCATGTGGCTATCACCATTGTCATGATGAGCCCATGCACATATTGCTGCCCACACCCCCTCATCAGCACTGCTCCCTCTCCTTTGCCCTCATGGGTCTTCAGGATTTCCTTCCAAGATGCTGCTTCACTCAGAGATGCTGTGGTTGGGGTGCTGATGGGCTCCTGTGTTGCTCTTAAAGAGGAAAAGGAAAACATTATCACCGGACCTTTCTCCTCCAAAGAGATGGTCTTGGGCAACCAAAAGTTTCTGCGTGGAAGCAGGGTGGCTGTGACAGTGGCTTTGACTTGTCCTTTTGTGAGAGGGAGGAGCTCTGGAGTAATAAGATACTGTGGAGAATAGTGCTCTTGGTTTACAGATAGGCAGTGAACAGGCAGATTCAGGGGCAAGGAGAAGAGAAGAATTGTCGCCTGGGCAGGCCTTTTGACTCTATCTTTGCATTGCCAACTCTTCCCTGAGCACCTCCATGTATTAGCATTGCCTTACTCTTGTGGGTCAGTCTGACACTGGAGGGGACAAGCTTGACTGAAATGGTTGTGTGTTGCTCTAAAATGGAAATAATGGCAATATCCATTTCATACAGCTTCTGTGCAGATGAAATGACATGATATATGTACCTTGCCTATCATGGTCCTTGGCTTAATAAATGCTAGTTTTTCTTCTCCCTTCCCTTGCCATTGATGTGATTCCAGGACTGACTGCATTCCTGATAGAAACTAGACCTCCCGGGCCTTCTGTTTGGGGGACTTGGGGATGGGGAGAGGGAGTCCAGGTTCTGAATGTCTGCTCAGCCCCTCCTTGTTTTCTCCCTGGATGCAGGGGGGCGCCTGGACCAGCTTTCCTGCACCCTACCCAAGGAGCTGAGGGGGAAGGACATGCGTGTGGTCCCTATGGAGATGTTCAACTACTGCTCCCAGCTGGAGGATGAGAATAGCTCAGCCGGGCTGGATATTCCTGGGCCACCCTGCACCAAGGCCAGCCCTGAACCTGCTAAACCTAAGCCAGGGGCCGAGCCTGAGCCAGAGCCCAGCACAGCCTGCCCCCAGAAGCAGAGGTATCGGCCGGTGAGCGTGAGGCGGGCCATCGGCACAGTGATCATCGCGGGGGTTGTCTGTGGCATTGTCTGCATCATGATGGTGGTGGCTGCTGCCTATGGCTGCATCTATGCCTCCCTTATGGCCAAGTACCACCGGGAGCTCAAGAAGAGGCAGCCCCTAATGGGGGACCCGGAGGGTGAGCATGAAGACCAGAAGCAGATCTCTTCTGTGGCGTGAGAGCCCAGCCCCACTTGGCCTAGGTAGGAAGGGCAGGGAGAGCATGCTGGGGATTGCTTCAGTAAGGGCTGGCCCTTCCCTCTACCACAGTCCCCTCCTCCATTCTCCTCCCCTGCCCTCCAGCAAACAAGCTACAGTGCGGTTGTCTCCACGAACTTCCAAGTCTCTGCAGAAGCCACCCTTGTGCTAAAGGCTCCTGCTCATGCTCCATTCTGAGCCATCAAGTCTCTGTAACACGTGAGAGATCTCCCTAAGCTTTTGGCCAATAGGGAAGAAAGGATATGTGTACAAGTGGAGGCTTCTGGACTCTGTTCTCCTGTTGCCCTTCCTGCCCTGGCTGTAGTCACAGTTGGGTGACTCTCCCTACCTCCTGCTCATAGCACCTCATCTGTATTTAAGGGTGGGTTGGAAGTGATACGGGGGCCAAGGGCCAACTTCTGTGACCCTCTTCTAAGCCAGGAATATATTCTCAGCTGCCCTTAGTGTCAGAGTTGGGTCCAGCTTTCAACTGCTAGTACTAATGTACAATCACACCAGCCATGGCATCTGGACCCAGCACTAAGAAACATGATTATAACACACCCCCTCTGCTGAAGCCATTATGTTCCTCTATCTGCTACAGGCCACACCAACTGCACTGCTCCTGGAATTCACTTATCCGCTCTCACACACACTCAGCATCACCAGCGCAATTACATCAATTGGAAACTTCTCTCTCTTTCTCGGTCTCTGTCTTGTCTGCTTGTCTGTCTACCTGTCTCTCTTTCTCTCTCTATCTCACACACACAGAATCACATGGACACAGAGGTCATGAGAACCTGGGGAGTAGAGACATGTTTCCCCCTTGGGTCTCTAGCCCTCAGGCTACAGAACCTTGTGCTTGCTCACCACAATCTTCTCAAGTCAACAGGGGGGAGAAGCACACACCGACAACACAAGGCTTCCTTTGAGATCCTCTGAAGTGGGCCAAAGTGGTGCTGCTGGATGAGACTGCCTGTCACCATGGTAACCCTCTCACACCTCTCCTGCTGGGTTTTCCAGGGACACCAGCCCAGAGGCCTTGAAGCTACAGCATGTGTGGATGGCAGCCTCCTGGGAGCCCAGGCACATACGCCACTGGGTGTTTCTTCAGCGCTAAGGACATCATCACTGCCAGGCCCCGTGGGGACACCCACCAGTTCCACTCCTATAGCCTGCAGCCCAAGAACCATTGCCCTGTACCCCTCACCCCTCCATCTTCAGCAGCTCCAGCCCTGGGACCTTGGGGCGGGGATTGGGTCATGATTGGTGGCATCTTGGGAAAGCAGGTGGTCCTCGCCAAAGCTCACTGCCTGCCAGCATATTCCAAGCAGACCCCAGGGGCAGAGAGAAGGCTGTCACATTCTGCTTAGAGGCCTCAGTTGTGGGGCTCCTTTCCCAGGGTTTTATGTGCTCAGAAAGGCTTTCTGGAGGTTTTAATTGCACCCGAACTGGGTTCCAAACCAGAGCATGGGCCAGTGGGCCTGTTTGTGACTTGTAGCCTACACCAAAGGGGCCGCAGGTGAGAAGATGGCTGTTTGGGGCTTGGGAGGTCATTAGTCCTCTCTTGTAGGTCTGTCCCTTCCCATGAGTCTGATCTCAGATGAGTACTAGGTCTCCCTCTGCTGGACACAAGTTTTCCCAAGGCTTCCGGAGGGTCAGGAGGCATCAGGCTGGTTTCTGGCTCCAAGACGGTAGTCTTGGTGGTGGCCTGGGAAGAGGCCGCTGGAACACTGAGGTCAAGGGTCTGAAGAGGAACAGGGCAGGACATGGAAGGCCCACCTTGCCTTGCACCCCTCGATTCTTCCACCTCATAGGGGACCATGGTGGGTGAAGGGGGTGGTGGGGGAAGGCAGGGAATGCCTTCAATTAGGCCTTTCTCCAGCACAGGCTGCTTAGCAGGCTGCTAAACATGTCTCCTGAGGCTGGGGGCATAGTCTTCCTTCTTTCCAGCTGATACCAGATCTAGGCATTTTCTAAGGGAAAAAGAGGGGAGGGGTGGGCGTTGTCAATGGTGGTATCTTCAGCCAGAGACAGAAGATTTTTAAAGGCAAAATTATATTTCTGGTTTGTTGTTTCAGAAGAACAATAAAGACTGTATTTTCCTATGTATCTCCTGGTTTCCTTGGGTGGGGAGGGCATGTGGGTGCTGGGAGAGTGGCTTCCTGCCCCCTGACCTCCCCAGGAAGCTGCAAAAATTGCTGCAGGATGTCACCCCGATGTCCAGACCTCCATAAGACACACAGGAAACTCGCCCGAGGCCTTGCCTTGGGGCACTGTTAGGAGAGATGTGGAGGGCTGAGCCCTGGGTTAGAACGGGTTCTGTAGCTGAGTGCAGCATGTCACCCATGTGCTGGCCTGACAGTACGGATATGTGAGCCTCAGGTTGGTGCTCCATGTAGCACTGGAGAGTGAAGGTCAGCTGGAGACCTGTCACTGCTCGAAGCCCTTTGTGTGCTCATCCACCGTGGCAGTCAAGGACAGATGAGTGGATGAGGTAGGAAAGAATGCATTTGCCCAGAGGACACCACTGTGTGATGGGAGGTGGGGGGAGCTTTCTCCAAGAGCTGTTGGTTAAGTTTTATCAGCTTTGGTGAGATTGGGGGGCAGGGGGTTGCTAACATGAAGGAGGAATCCCTTTTAAGCTATTATCCTCTTACACCTTCAAGACTGACTTTAGGGACAGGCAGATGACACTCTGAGCTTTCAAATATGATCCTCCATAGGATTCAGCAGGTGCAGCAGTGGCGGTGGGTGGGGGGTACTCAGAATTATGAACTGGAGGGCTGGGGCTGGGGAGACCAGGAGAGGAGATAAGTCAGAGGGCCAGATCTCTGGGGTTGTTCATTCATCCTAAGCTGGAGTGACTCACCTCCAGGCCTGGACTGGCCTCTGGCTGATTGAGTCTGGGTTATATGGTTCATTAGTCATCAGAAACCAAGAAAGAATTTTCTCCTTTCTAGGAGCGTTTCTTTGGATGATATCCCAGCAAGCCAGGAGCAAGCCCTAGGGAGAAGTGAGCTATCCAGGTCCCCTTCCTGGCACTCAGCTGGACTCCCACAGAGCTGGGCTGTTTGCCTTTCAGAGGTGGTGACAGCTGTGGGGTGCTGCCCTCCTGAAGCCCTAACAGGTATAGCAGACCTGAGAGACAGTCTTCCCCAAGCCCTGATGCAGAAGCAGAGGCCAAGGTCCCTCACTAGCCTGGCACAGGTCTGGAGAATGCACAGGTGTGTCATGCACATCACTGCTGTGCGTGTGCACACACGGGTCTGACGGCTAGGCCCATTTGCACATAGGCAGAGGGAGGGGAGGAGCCCTCATGCAGCTCCAGAAAGCAGGCTTGCTGCTAAAGGCCTCTGGACAGGGACACATGTGTACTACAGGACACGTGCTAGAGAAACACACTTGCAGTTTATGGTGCCACCATCGTTATGCTAGGCAATATTCCCCAAGTAGGTCTGGAGGGCCTGGGAAATTGAAACTGGATCCTGGTCAAAAAGATTCCCTAGAAATTCTGCATAAATAGTTGATAAGTCACCTGCTTAGAGATCAAAATGATCCCTCTTCATTCATCTGCCCTTCTGTGTGAACCCATGGCATTATGCATACATCTGGCATGTAGCTGGTCCCTGTAGCTGATCCAAGTACCTGTCTCCTACCTTCTCCCTTTGCTCAGTGCACAAAATCACACATGCAGCCCACCTGGCAGCCACCATGCTCACTCAGTCTTGGAGCTCACAAGCACACGGTGTCACTGGTTTCCAAGGGATGAAACTGTCAGGACTGAAAACAAGCTGCCGACCCTGCTTTCAACTATCAGCCTCCTCTGGCCCCAATATCAGGGAGGATGAGCCATTTGCCAGGGAGGGAAAATTGCAAAAGAAAACCCTTCCCAAAAAGTTGAAGTATAAGGTCTCTAGCACTTCATTCTTTTCCTATCACGTCCGTGCACCCCAGAGTGTCAGAGCCATTGTCTACAGTGAGTTAAACCGGAGGCACCAGGACACGGTTTCTATGGCAACCCCTGGAGGCTCTGATTCAGCTCAGACTTAAAAATGATATCAAATGATTGGAGAGTGCAGGAGAACCCAGCCAGCAGCCTGACCCCTGTCCCCTCTGGTTCCTAGACTCTCAAGTCTAGCAGGAACTAGAAGGTCCACATCACAGAGGGAGGAGGACAGGCACAGATTTCAGCTGGGACCACAGAACAGTCTTTAGGGAAGCAAGTTCATGTCCAATTTTGGCCTATAAATGGGTTTGGAGTTAGCGTACTGTGGCCTGAGTTTAAAAAGGTGGCTGAGATGGTCCCTTCCAAATGCTGTAGTGGGAAGGCCACCAGCGGTGCCAATGTTTCCTCAGGCAGGAAGATAGCCTTGGGCAATCTCTGCCAGACCCCGGCCGGCTCCTCCCACCTCCTGTGCCCTGAATCCAGTCTTGAGGGACAAGGTGCACCCACCCCTGCCTGCCCCTGTCTGGTCTAGCTGCTGGAGCCCTTTCACATGACTCCAGACCCCTGGAGAGGCAGGACAGGACCCATGATGGCTGATGTTTGAGTGCCCACTGGATTGCACACCCTTGCAGAACACAGTTGGCTCTGAGACGGAAACTGAAGCAAGGATTTATATTGAGGGTTGAGGGCTTCACCACACAGGCCTGATGGCACTCAGGTAAGGAGGCACCCATGCAAAGGACTCTTTTAGATACTAAGAAACTACCAAGTCAGGGCAGTGTGGGAGGTTCATTGGGTGCTCTCATCACATTTGAGGCAAATGGCAACATGGGGTAGGAAGCTGGGGCTTAAAGAGAGGCAGCCTGAGTTCAAATTCTAGCTTCATTAATTATTAGCTGTATGACTTTGGGCAAATAATTTTTCTGTCTCAGTTTTTTTTTTTTTTTTAATCTGTAAAACGGAGCCAAAAGTATTGGCTTAATAGGATCACACTGAGGGCTGAATGAGATGCACCTGGGGAGCAAGTTCCCAGGTGCCTGGCACATATTAAGCATGAGTTCCAGGTTCTTACTTTAGGGTCTGAGTCACAAGCCCAGCTCTCCCCACAGGAGGATGCTAGGCCCAAGGTGGTAGAAGTGAGAAGTGGCACACAGAGAGGTGGTGAGGAGGTCTGGGTTCCAGTCTCTGTCCTGTGGAAATTGGAGCAGATCTCAACCTATGTGAGCTTCATTTTACTTTACTAAATTCTTTTGGATCTAAGGTTTTATGGGTTTATAACAAAATGGCTTGGGAGGACTCCTTTCTCCTCCAGTCCCACATTTCACATAGGAAAACTTATGGCTGAGGGCTGTGTCCCTTGCAGACTACAGGCAGGGTCCTTCTGCTATTACCGTGTGCCTTATTCTTGACATTGACTCACAGCTCCCCAACCACGGTGGCGCAAAGGGCAGCTCCTACCTGCAGCAATAGCTGTCTTCTTGTCCACCGTCACGGCCACAGCGGTGCTTGCTGTTACTACCATTGTCTGGCCTGGACTTTCTGGGGAAACAAAAATTGCTAAGTCAAGTTCTCAGTACCTGGGGAAAAGTCTGTGGTTGGGTAGTGGTTGGGTAGGCTGAGAAGACAATATAAATGCCAGGTGAGGGCATTCCTTGAATAAGTCAGGGCGAGGAGGGCAGTGTTTGGGGAAGCTGTTGCCATGATGGCTCTGTTACCATCGACCACTGGTCTTTGCGGAGTGCCTGCCAAGTGTCGGGCACTGCCACCCTCCTGTGCAGATCTGAACCTGCCAGATAAATACACCATGGCCCCTAGCCGCCCAGACAATGCAGTGTTGTCCTCATCATGAGGACACTATGAGTTTGCTCTCCCTCAGGGCAGCAACTGTCTGTTGGCTGTTGCCTTACTTGAGCTCAGAGACACTGCTGTGTCCCTCTCAGGACATGCTCCACCCAGAAGACTTGCCTTCTGTCAAATGATTCTTTCTAGCAGAAGGACAGGCTGTGTTCCAGGACTCGGTGGTGGCCGATCCTGGGTTGTCCTTCATCAGTCACATGAGTCAGGGTGACACTGACAGCCAGCCCCTCTGGAGGCCAGATGGTAGGGTGCACCAGACACAGACTATTGCCTGACACCTCTGAGACACTCCATAAATCCTGGTCATTGGTGGTGATTATCAAACCATGTCTTTCACTTGCTTTACAGATTGTTGGTGTGCTTCTGGGACACTCTGCTGGACTCTTGAAGGGCAAGGGGCTTGCCTTGAGCTGCTCTCCACACTTTTTCTGAGAGAATCGGGCCACCATAGGTGCAAAATTCAGGTCTACATTAAAACAGAGCTTTCTGGCTCCAAGGTGGTATGGGCTACTATATGACCTTGGGCTTTTAAATTTTCATCAGTCCAGGGACATGGCTTTGCTTTTCAAAGCATTTTTGTCTAGCCAAGTTCCATTACTGAAAATTCCAAGAAAGGGGAAAAATTTTATCAGGTGATATCTTGTTAGAATGTCTTTATATATCAAATGTTGCTTGAAACAAATAGGTCATGAGAAGCTTGTGCGGAAATCGTCTGCTGTGGCGAAACTTAAATTAGCCAGTTTCCTCATATCTCTTTTGCTAAGCTCATCCGTCACACCTCGTTATAATCAAATATCCCACAGAAATCCAAAATTACTTTGATACTATAAACTTACAATATGTAGCATTGTCCTTGATTTGAGGAATTTGCCATGATAAAATGACAATAAACACAGAAGTCAGCTTCCTCATCTTGCCTCTAGAAATGTCTAGAAAAAAGAGTGATAGGCCTGAGGCACCTGGGCATTAGTGAGGCTCTGCTCTGTGCTGGCAGATTTCTCAGGCACTGGTTGCAAAAGACGTCTCTGTGTGGGCAGAACTCAGCCCACCAGGCCCCAGGCAAAGGGCAGCAGAGTCAGCCTGGAGAGGCAGAGTGAAGCCTCCACTCACCCTGGAGGTGACTCCTCCGCCTCCTCGGGGTACCCACCCCCCATTACAAGGAAGCTGTTGTTGTCTTCTTCCTTGGGGGAGAATGGGAGTGTGCAGAGGTGTCCACGTGTCTCTAAGCATAGGCAGGAGCTAAAGCAGCAAGTGAGGGTGTGAAAAGAGAGCAAGCTCCTGCCTCCCTACTCAACCGTCCCCCCTT